CCCATTTGGGACGACCAAAAGGATGAAGTTTCTACATGGCAGCTTGTTGGAGCTAGTAGGATGGCTGTTGAGCAAGCAAAGGAGGCACTTGCAAGGACTTGGGAAGCACTTCCTCAGGCTGTGATTGACCAAAAGTGTCAATCATTTCATGAGAAGCTTCAAAGGGTAATACTTCACAATGGGAATAACAATTTCAATGGTTGAATTATCTGGTTTTCTTGTACCGTATATGATTAATAAGTATGTTGCCTGGCATATGGTTGTTATTGGTCCGCCGATCACTACTCCATATAGGTGTCCGATAGCAACTCGGCCGCGCGAGTAGTGTTCGAGTTGTTTGACAGTACTGGTGGCAATACCTGATGGGAGTGATTGTATCATAATCAATAATTATGACAATGTCTCTTACGAAAACTTAGACATGCTCCTTTCTGGCCGCAAAATTTGACTGACATAAATGAAATCGAGTCATGATGGCGCAGTGAGGAAACAAAGAAGTGTTTAGTGCTTGGTGGAGTTATTTATATTTAGTCTTGGAGTTGAAAAATCTCACTACTAAGGTTGGTGATATTTATTATGGTATCATATACGCACGGATATGGCTTCCCCACGCTTTCTTTGCTAGGCCTATCCCCGCTTTATCCGCTATTGGACCGCCACCAGCCACCTCTCCACTTCTTGTTCACCCCTTCCCTTCCATATCCCTTCTTGAACACCTCGTCCATGTCTGCGCGTTTGGGATTTCCACGACATGGCATTCCTCCGGCCCCAGAAGTAGGAACATTATGGCCCGCCTACCCGGTGCCATGGAGGTGGTCGTTGCGAGAGAACGGAGGGTCAAATTGGATTACTAGGTCGATGTTCAGGGGCTCCAGCCCACGGGCGGTGACGTCGATGCAGAAGAGAGGGAGGGAGGTTATGTGCGCAAAGGAGTGGAGGGTGGACGTTCAGATTGGCTGCGGGAGGGAGCCATGGGGTTTGCAGAGGATGGGGGTGGGATGGGGGTGTGAGGTTTTGGCGATTGCGGGTTATTCTGGCTCAACGAGAATCTAACTACACCCCAAGGTATGATATGATATCATACATCCATCTTTATAGGAAAGGAAGCCCTAAACTAGCAACCTCAAGTTCTTCGCAGTTCTCCCTGATACGTACATCTAGGAATTATCTTCGAATGTTCACCTTGCTTCCTCTGCACGAAATTTCCACTGCTACTCACTCACACTGCAAACCCCGGACCCTGAACCCCTGAAACCGTCTGGAAAAAAGAAACCGTCACCTCTGTCCGCGACATAGAGAAATCCTCGGAAGCAGAGTCCGTAACAAATTTGCTCTTTCTGGTGGACGGAGAAGCGGCATTTTCCGAGGCAGAAATCATCTCGGTGTGGAGCGATCAAGTTGTCAAAATACCAGAGACAAAGGCAGTTAGAGAGATAGTCGCTAAACTTGCTAGATGGGTCTTAAGAGAAGGAGTGCCGCAAAGAATATTATTAAGGGTGGCGGGATGTATCATGGATTGAAAAATGAAAAGATTTCTGATGGGGTGGGAATGGTGGAGGAGAGGTGGTTAGTGGATAGGGGGGTTCTGCTGTTGGGTTCAATATTATACTAACCTTGTTCGCCGACCAGAAAGGGAAGCTTACGGTGGTTCGGGCGATTTTAGAGTTGCGTGACGGGCCATTCCGCGGGTGGTCTCGCAAGGGCACTAGAGTGCACAGTAGTTCCTCGCAACAAAATGTCTATCTCCAAGCCCAAAATAGGAAGAAAGGAAAAAATCCCCTGAGTTTTTAACTTGGCACCTGCCTCTGGGGTATAGTGATTAAATTACTTCGCCATCATGGTTCATCACTCGGTAAAGCCTAGGGTTTATGTTTATACCGGTTATTATATGATATCATACCATGGATAGTGATCAGGGCCAACCACCAGCCAGCGTAATAATTGTTTGCGGTATTTCCCCGTTGCCCTCCAGCTAGCAGATGCCTCATGGCATGCGTAAGATCGTGTAGAGATGGAGTGCTTAATATAGACTTTCTTGCAAACCTTCTTCTCATCTCACCTTTATTCCCTTTCCTCGCACAGTACTATCATATTATCCTCATTATTATCTTTATTGTTACCCAAGATGGCTTGCGGTTGTTGCAAGGGGAAAAGTCGGTTCAATAAACCCCTACGCTCCACACAGACATAATTTCTGACTTGGTAATTACAGCCAAGGCCAAGCCGAAACTCATGAAGCACCACGGTGCAGCAATTGCAACTCTATTCATCGGCCTCCTAGAGACGATAGCCTACTTAATCGGCGAACATGTAGGAAACCCCCCACGAGGGTTACTGTCGAAAGCTTTCCGACTGACCCCGCACTACCCCCAACACCCTCACCACGTCCGACACCTCCACCATTCTCAAGGCAGAATATTGGCTAATACACTCACCCGCTCGTTCTTCATCCACTATGGGTTAGCGCCCAGAGTATTCATACTTAAGCGCCGCAACGATTTAAACCGAGTGGAGACGCTTAAGCCTGTACTGTACGAGTACTTATGATGAATGGGTTGCATCCTCTATGGCGGTATCAGCCCTGGCCCTAGGTACTGCGGGCTCCGGGGTGGTCAGTTTATATCATATTAACTATGTCGGTCAGCCGGGCAGGAGGGAATGGATGACCGTCACGGCATATCACTCGGCGTCATAAAAAGGAAGCAAAAAAAAAAGGGAAGGCAGCGCCACTGCATGATGTGCAATATGATAACTCCACTAAATGAAGGCAGTGCTCCCATGTCACTCCCCTCCGTATATTGCGCTAACACAACCTGGATCGAAAACCAAACCTGCGGTACAGCCCGCCATGATGATAATGTATGATATATTCTTGTGAAAGAAAATAAAAAGTATGTATGATATCTCATTTTTTGACCCCCTTGAGACAAAATTGCAACCCCAAATGCCTAGGGAAAGTTCTAAGATGATGGGGCTTCGCCCACTAACTAGACAAGTTCGAGTCGAGCACTCAACTGTAACATTAATCTAAAGAAAAAAGTCTGTACCGGACCATTACCTATAAGTATGTTGTAAGGGGATTCAGAACTGTGCTTTACCCGCTGCCATGAGCCACTTGGAAGGGTGGTTCAAAACGTCGTTCGGTCGGCGAGATCTGCCCGCAAAATATTTGTCAAACCTTGCTAAGGGTGCCCCCTCGCTACGGATGTATCATACTACTCTATTCAATACCTTAGAATGCTTGCCATGAGTTTCCCTGTATTTAAAAAAACTACAGACTTAACAAAAAACAAAAAAGCCCACTGTATAATACCTCTCGCCCATCTAGCGACTTGGCTAGCTATAAAGTAATTGGACATCTTGGACCTATTAGTGCCAGTCTTGGCGCTAAATGTCCGAATAATTTCCACAAGACCTGGTTACCCGGTCCCTGCAACTTCCTGTGGTGTTGCCGCCCTTCAGCTTTCCCCACACTCGATCTCTACTTAACCCGAGTGATGTTGAACTGAAAATTTACGTTGAACTGTCAGGCAATCAACTGATTTACTCCCATTTGCGAGCAAGCGAGCATTCGGGGGTCGTGACGCCCTGTCACAACCTTGGCACGAGTACAGTATGATATCAGAATTCTACTCGTGTTTGTCTCCATCCCCCATTGACGAACAGCAATGGAATAAGGGACAACAGAACCACATCATGCTTTCTTCTTCCAAGATTATTCCTCCTTTAATTGGTGGCCATGGGTAGCATCATAACTTTTTATGGCCGGTTGAATACGATAAGAAGACGTGCTTTTACGGCAAATCCTGTACGTATCTACTGATCAATTAAGGGCATTTTCTTTTACCGTGATCCTGCTTACAGATTTCCGCTCATTCAGAAAAACTACGATGACGATTACGGTGTTTCCTCCCAGGAGCCGATTGCGGATGGTATAGGACTCGGAGATCCTACTCTGGCTCCGAGTCAACCGTCGGCACCTTCCATGAGCGATGAATCCAACGTGCTCGACAAGGTGGCCTCTCAGTCTTCCTTCGCAAGTCATATTGTGTCAACCATTCTTAGGATGCGACGATCCTAAAGCTTCGGGCTAATGATATCAACGCGCGCTTTCGCGATCCCATACGTAGGCTTAAATCAATTCATTGATTAATCTCGACACCAATAAAACATTATCCAATAAGATATGATGGTCAGCATTCGGGTTTCATTTCAAATGGTAGAATCATAGCGGTGTTTGCATAAGGTGTGATCATGATTGGAGGAATAAGGGCCCGTTTACCTATAAACGGCCGTCTATCGATTGGAGACGGTACCCAGCGTCGAGGAGGGAAGGCTAGATGGTTGGGTGTTTACCTAATGCTCCGTCTAGTGCACCGTCAATTCTCGTATTGGTACAGTATGATACTCCTATCAACTATCTCATCGATCCGGCGAGCCGGGGGTTGCAACGGCACCTCTGGAGCAACGTCTTGTTTTGACCGTCTAGCACCAAGATTTTTAGACGGTCGAGAATTAGGTACCGTAAACGGTTTTGCACCGTCTGTTGCAACGTGACATTGGCCGAGATTTCACCGTCTAGTTTCATCATGCAAATTTTAGATGCAGACGGTTAGGTAAACGGGCCCTAAGGTTGGTGCTTTTTTTATGGGTCTGGTTGTATTGAACCGGTATTCTCGTACGCGAAGCCGGAAAGGGGGAAATCGCAAGTAACTCTGTGCCCTCTGTTACTAGATTCACCTCTACCGCCAATGTACTGGCTGAAAAGAAAAAAGGTCTGGATTGTCCCTAAACCTAAGCAAACAATGAACGCAGCGGGCACTGAATTTTGATGTGTTTTTTCATTGATGTGCACCTTAACTTAAAGGCTCTTTTTGGTACCGGTATTTGGTTTCCCCCGAACCAGGGTGAACTATATGGCATGGGAAATGGTGGTTGGTGGTGGAACGCTATATAGGACTGGTTATTGGATGCTAACGTGTACAGGTCCGCTGGGAGGACTATCCGCCTCTAATATCCTTAAGCACATCTGCTGCCCTTACCCGTGTCATTCTCTCCCATCCGAGAAGGCTCATTACAAATGTGCCTCTTCCAGTTGTCATACTCCTTAAATGCTTCAAGTAGCCTACCATCTCTTTCAGTGGGACCGTCGCCACCACCGATCGCTTCCCGCTTACTCCTCCATAACTATCATCCCCCTTTCCAGCTTGGCCGGGTGCGTACACTTTTGAAGTATCCAATCTGTCAATTCCTCCCTCATCACCACCGCCAAGCTCCAAGACATGTCCTCCCCTTGCAGAAGAGAGGTCGCCAACTACTTTCCCAAGATCCTTCTCGTCGACTGTCACGATGACGCTCATCATTGGTTCCATCAGAATTCCTTCCTCGTTCAATGTGATCGCTTCTCTTAACGCCGTCGTGGATGCTAAGCGTGCTGCGGATGAGTATGCCGCAGGAGTACTTTCAGTTCCAAAGTAATCTTTTGAAGGGTCTATCGTGATCTTAATCGAGGTATTTCGCATTGGGAATCCGAGATAAGGCCCCCTTCCAAGCGCCGCTATAGCTCCTGAAATGAGGGAGCCTTTAAGTCCTTCGATATCAATTGATTTCGGCAATTTTGTGTGTTCTGTTTCGGCCTCATCTACGGTTAGTGTATGCTGAGGCGCAACGATATTAGCTGATATGAGGTTCCCGTCAACCACAACCTCATCGGGAGTTCCTGGGCCCGGGATTGGGGGCTCGTCCAGGCCAATTACGGAAACATGGCATCCTGCCTTGACAAGCTCTCCGGCAATCTCTTTTTCAAAGGCCGTGCGGAGTTCGTATCCTGAGGTTGAGGGTATCGTTTCACGGTAGGATATAAGGATGCGCCCCATTTCTGCCTTGGCTTTGAGTTCGCCAACTAGTCGATCTCTTGCAATTTCGAGGTGTAGTTCTCCCATCCCAGAAATAAGCATTTGACCGGAGTCTTCATCGGTAGTTATGTGCAGGCTAGGGTCTTCGCGAAGAAGCATAGATAATGCATCCTCAAGGGGCTTTTGCTCAGAAAGGGAACTTGGCTCGATGCTTGCAAAGAATACTGGTGGAGGAACCTCGATCGGGCGAAGTTGAATAGTCCCAAAGGAATCAGAAACTTTCTGATGGTGCTTATTGCCCTTACCGGAATGACGGTGCTGGCGGTCTGATACCAAGGTATCGCCTGTCCGAGCATACTTAAGGCCTATAATCACCCCAATATGTCCGGTAGGAATAGATTGAATGTCGACTGCGTCGTCTGCGTACATTTTCAAAAGCCTATGTACCCGCTCCTTGACACCGAGGGTGGTATTATAAAGGTGATGTGCACGAACAAGGGTTCCAGAATATACTCGGACGAATACCATCGCCCCCCGTTTCGGATCGTTGACGACTTTAAAAGCTAAGGCACATAGCCTATCTCCAGATACATTCAGAACCCCCTTAGTCTTCCCACGATCATAAGAAATCTCGGTTTCTGGCCTGTCCAGCGGAGAAGGAAGATAATCAATCACAGCATCTAGTAGCGGTTGCACCCCGATGTTTTTGAAGCTAGCTCCACATAATACGGGAACCACTTCGCTTGAACCCCTAAGTGTCTGTTTCCGCAAAGAGTTCTTGATGACATCTGAGGAAATGGTGTGATGATCGCCAATATCCAGAAAGGCTTCTACTAATTCTTCGTCATGCTCTGATAATAACTCAACCAGCGCGACTCTTGCTGTCAAAGCCTCAGAATATAAGTCCGGCTTTTCCCCCTTGAGCCAGGTGTAGTTGTGCACGTCGATCTTCTGGCCGTCGCCCCCTAAGCCCCATAAAAAGACTCGTTTCTCCACAATATCCACCACCCCTCGAAATATATCGTCACCCCTTTTATCTTGCTCATATATAGGCAATTGCAAGACTGCTGGCCACGCATTCAATTTTGAGGCGATTTCTTTCACAGTCGGACCGAATTTTGCCCCGACCCTGTCGAGTTTATTCAAAAAGATAAGCCTCGGGATGCCATACTTTTCTGCTTGACGCCAGACCTTCTCTGTCTGTGCTTCGACACCGGCGACACCGTCTAGAATGGTCACAGCACCATCCAGAACACGGATCGAGCGCTCAACCTCAAAAGTAAAGTCCGCATGCCCGGGAGTGTCGATCAAGTTGATAGTATATGGTTGAGATCCTGGCGCGGAAGGCGTCCAATCGAAAGTAATTGCAGCGGAGGTAATGGTTATTCCACGAGATCGTTCGGCGGGGAGATAGTCCATAACCGTGGAACCCTCATCGACTTCTACATACAATCAGTTCAATTACGTTCGTACTCGAATGTTCCTCTGACTTCGTACCACCGATCCGGCGAGTAAACCCGCTATAATAGAGCATGCGCTCGGTGGTGGTTGTTTTGCCCTAAATTTGCTTTCATTTAGCCCACAATCACCACAATGGGTAACGAAGTGACCTATACAGCATCTATATGCGCGATAATCCCAATGTTTCTGGTGTGTGCTAGATCCACTGTGGCATCAGCACCAGTCGCAGACGAGGTAGCATAAAATCTTTTCGGGTCACTTCGCAGTGAGAACGCTGTCCTTCCCAGAGATTGCGCAGTCTTAGAATGGGCAAGACATCGCCAGCAAATAGTTGAAGCCGTTCGGGCTGGGAGGAGCATCTCAATTAGTCGGGTGTTTGTTTCGTCGTGCGGTGAATCGCGAAGAGGAATTCGCACTGCGTGATTAAGTTACTTCTTCCACTTTTGAGGGCTCCGGGCGGGGAACTGCACTTTGGATAAACCCAACTTATGATAAAACTCACAATAGGAGGTTTGAAGTTCTAAATTCCTAGGGATTTCGCAACACAAATGCTTGCACGTTACTTGCAGGCCGTAGGGTATCTTAACTAATTTCAAAATCGTACGAGGCAGGGTAAAAGATAATTATAAATGGCGTCTGTTTTCCAGTAGGGTTCGCATTGTCCCTAAAAAAATGAGTATGATAAAACAAGACTTATTAAATTTAAAAAAAAATAAAAGAAGATACCGTAGTAATTGTGATAACTGTTTATGTGCTCAAATATCCGAGCAGAATAGCCAGTGACATTTCACCAAGTCGGGGGAAGATACTCAATGAATTAAGGGAACGTGCTGAACCATGCGTGCGGTTACGCGTGCTTTTCAGCATGGATGAGGCGCCATTCCAGGAACGTCGTCCGCCCCACCAAATACCCTAGTGCCATTTCGGACTCAACAACAGCTCTTCAACTCAAAGGCCTTCGCCGCCATTTCCAACACCACCTGTCAATGGATTATTCTTCAGGTTTTGGCTCAGAGCCAGGCCTTTTCGGTGACCCTACCGAGCAACCTTTTGCCCAACACCGCCCCTCGCAAACTCAATCTGAGCCCTCCGCAACTCTCATCGGCGATGATCCTATCGGGAGTCCTGGATTTGCCACACCTTATTCTCCCCATATCCGCCAGTCAAGTTCCGACGACCTAGGCCACTCAGGATTCGCCAGTCAAACACCGATTACTCCCGGATTTCAGGATGACGGTGGATTTAGAAGCCCGGGATTTGCTGGCGACGATAGTCCTGTTGAGAGTCCTAAAACTCTAGCTCATCCAGATCAGCAGCAACATCGGCAAGAGCAACAACAGGGCGGAGAGCATAACCAGAGACCTGAAGCTCAAGGTCAGGGGAGCGTCCGAGGCCAGCAACAGAGACAAGTCCCACAATATAAGCTACATGCCAAAATAATAGCTCTCGAAAGGACCGGGAGGAAAGACCCCATCCTAAGATTTGATGTGCACGTATGCTTACTCAAAACCTATCCATATAACAAAAGCAGTTCTGACAACTAGGATAGACAAACCTTCCCAAATTCCGCACTACGCAATTCCGTGATGTTCGACGTACACACCCGGAGTTCCAGAAGCTCGCAAATCATCTCTTGTCTAGTAACCCCGAATGTTTTGTGCCTGCCGTTCCACCGCAGTCTACTTCGGCAGGTGTTGGAACAGACGAGGATGAGACCCGTGTCCGTGCAAGTATGCAGCGGTGGCTCAACACCGTGTGCTCAAACGAGGTTCTTATGCGTGATGAAGAGATGGTTTTCTTTGTTGAGAGCGATTTTGGATATAGTCCCGTAATCAGGAGAAAGCAGCCCGCTACGGGTGTTCGACGGCGAGTTATCAAGCAATTCGCTCCGCCTCCGGATGACACCCCAGAACTAGAGACAGCAAGACCTGTCGTTAAGGCATTCTACCTGGGCACTATGGAAACTGGGCAGAAAGTTGACCGTATGGTTAGGAGCCGGAGAGGTAAACACTATTATTACCAACTATTACAGATGCACGTGATTGACCACCTTTAGGTGTTGGTCTTGCCGAATCGGATTTTGGAGCCCGCTTGTTGGCAATTTCGCAATCCGAAGCGCACCAGGGCATGGCCAATGCCTTCCGCAAACTCGGCAAGATTATCCAATCAGTGGGAGATTTTCACGCGGCGCAAGCCACATCAGAAGCCACTACCTTAGGGGACCCCCTCACATATCACTCTGCAGACGCATTCATCGTTAAGGAAACACTTACAAACCGCCAAATCCTCATGCGAGAGCTCGAGTCTGCGAGAAAGGATACTCGTGGCAAACTCCAAACAATGGAGTTACTCAAAGGCAAGGGCGCAATCAAGCGTGACAAAGTCGATGAAGCATTGGCGGCGCTCGAGGAAGCGAAAAGCAACGAAGCACATCTAGGCCAGAAGGTAAAAAGGGTAACAGATAACCTTGTCCGGGAACGTAGGAAATGGTTCGCCAGAACGAGCAAGGACCTCCGAAACTCGATCCGCGATTACTGCTTTCGCCAGATCGAAGCGGAGCGTAGAACGCTCGCCACTCTCGAATCTGTCAGACCGGATATTAGGGCCATTGATCAGTCCGGCGGCCTTAGTAGGTTAGGTCGTAATGCACCACCGGCTAGTCGAAGAGCAAGCATAGCGACGAGTCAGGGGCCCCGGGGGGATGCTTGGAGCGGTGTGCAGAGGGTCGCTGGCGTGAAGCGGGGAGTGGAGGTCCTGAACGGGGGTGCGGCGATTACAACCCCGGTTCCTGGCGCTATAAAAGAAGAGGAGGAAGGAATGGGTGATGAGGATAGGTTGGATGCGAAGAATGCTGCGAGCAGGCTTGCTGGTAGTACCTTTTAAACCCACACCCTCTCTCAATGGATTGCTTGACGTTGTCATTGTTCCACTTTCCTTTTGTAACCCTCATGTGTTCGGGAGGTTGCGTTGTTGTTTCTCCATCCCCATATATATTATTCAGCGATGTCTTCTCTTTTTCCTTTTTTTCCTTTTCGGCAAAAAAGCTCGTTCACTGCTCGTTCTCCCGTCATGTCATGTCCCCCCCAGTATTGATCGCCTTGTGAATTTCGGGTCTAAGATAGTTACAGTAGATTTTCCAACACCCACGTATCATGTCTTAATGCCTCCAACGGTGGCATACCGTACTGCAAGTGTTAGGGCTAAAGTTTCCGCAGTTAATTTGGGTTAACCCGCAAAATAATCCCTGTCTAGTACGAAAACATCTGCCCTAACACCTTGTAACTCGCACAATCCACTACTGTATCTCCAGCAGACCTCTAATCTACTGTACTCGTACGTGTTCTGAGACAAAAAACCCCTAAGAAGGATTAGTGCATTCCTTACATGGTAAAGCCCGGGTGCGCTGAGTGTGTTGGGTCTCATTAACTGGTATTCGCAGCTCTGCTAACCTGTCAAACTAGAAGGGTCAATGGGGGGGGATTGACGGACATTAGAGGTCTGGCGTGAATAGTGAATTATGAGCAATACTACAGGGTAGTTTAGTAACTTTTACTCTACTGCACTTGGTAGTACCGGTAAGGGCATTTGGGGGCCCGGTAACACAAGTCCTCGCTCGGCATGTTGCTCGAGTACCGTACGGTATTACCAGTACTCGTACCGGTGTGGGAGATTTGATGCGCCATCCCTGGATGGTGTTTCGACCGAGCAGTGCCCCGCGGGAATAATTGTTCTGTGACCCGACCGATAAACCGATGGATGGAGAATGGAAAGTTGACTTGGACCAAATCGTAGTAAATAGACCGACACAGATGAAGCAAACAGGATGAATCTGAGCCCAATTTAGATAGGCACGAACCGCCATCTACAAGTAAATGGTTGTTGTTGATTGGTGGTTGAGCTTGTCTAACTAAGAAAACATGAAAGAGCCCTATGGAGGAAATCCTTCCCTGCCAGGCTATGATATCCTGCCAAACAGGAAATTCCACAGGCCAAAACCCAGTCGATCCCAGCAAATAAGTTACCCTGCTAACCACAACCCTGTTCCACATCGGCAATCGCCACTTCCCCTCCCGGAAGTAAGTTAGTCCCGCCCCGACCTTTTGTGCTCACTCACCATCGCGATTACCGGTAAATTACGGCAGGCTACAGTACGCGTGTATGATGATGATGCATCGAAAGTAGATCCTGGATCTCCATGATTGCGCCCTGTACGAGTATTCCGGGGAAGAGCGGGGGGTAACGCTATTGCTGTCGCCGTCGGTCGGCACTTTATATCCCCGAGTCCGATTAGTGATACATGGAGTCTATTCATGTCTCTTCCGTTTCGGGTAGCGGGAGCGGGTGGGGCTGAATTCCCCTGCAACCGCAATCGACTTTAAGCTTAACGGTTGGGGCCGAGCGGCGGCGATGGTATGTAACTTAGGGCGATGGTCTGGAGGGTTTTGAGGTAGGGGGTTTTGTTGCGATTGGGTTTGAATTTGGGCCTTTCCATCGTGGGGGGTGTATGTGGGCTATTGTGCTGGCTTAAGGATTTAGTTAAGGTGTCGTGGAAAGAGGAAAGAAGGAATTCAAATTACATTTTGTGAAAAGTCCACCGTTTCGGGAGGGGGTTCTTGCGGGAGAAAAGAAGTAAGAAAAATGCCCAATCTTATTTACAGTAAAGCGTCTGGGCTGTAGCAAGTACTAGGAACGGAAGGCTAAAAACGAAGAAGAAAAAAAGCTAAACACATAACGCCGATTATAATATAAACGAAAAACAGTTCATATTCATGCGGTTGAATTTTTGGGTAAACCCTTCTTCCCATTTCCCAGTCATTCATTTCCCTTATGTAAGACCCCTATTTACCGGTATATGTCCCTCCTTGTACTCCAGTGTTATCCAGCTCGTGTACCGGTTGCTGTACGGGCACGCTATCCATCTCATATCTCGCAGGCGAACCCCCCTCGTAACCCGGTGCGAGCGAGTGCTTGTGCATTCCCATAAGTGAGTTCTCCTGACTCCCAACCATAGCTCCCCCTTCCATGGCCGTTTCCGCACTTTTACGACGACGGCGCAAGAGCATCCAGATACCCGCTCCGATAGCCGCAAGACCCGCGACACCACCAACGACACCACCAGCAATCGCGCCGGTTGAGCTGCCGGTAGAACTTCCACCGCCGCCACCGGAGATGGAGGAGGGGTTTGGACTGGGAGAACTGGTGTTACTCGCTGCTGCGGCGAAGAGCTTGCCCAGGCCCCCCGCAAAATTTTTGTCGTCTGCCGGGCCGGTGATAGTGGCACCGCCTTCTCCACTTTTTGTAATTGTTAACTCCCATCGTGCACAGCATAGAAAGCGGAGTGGGAGGGGGGGGAGAAACTCACTTCCCACCGATAACATCGTAGATGGTCTTCGGCACCCGATACCTTGAAGGCTGATACTTATGGGACCAAGTGAGATTCGTCATATCGTAGAAGTATGACCCACCATTCGGATCGCCTCGATCTATTTGATCCGCACGACCACGGACCATAGCAAGTTGTCCGCCGATGGTTTGGCACGATGTACCAGAGCGTCCGCGGTCCGGCTCGCCAGTGGAGCCCACGGGGAACCATTGGAAGTAGGGCATTGTCAAGGCCCAAGTGCCCTTTATATGGCCACCGCGCTTGTATCCCCCGTATACGTAGATTGTGAAACTGGTCTTGTCCGGGGCTGCGGCGGCCCCGGTGCAGAATCCTCCCCAGCGGTCATCCGGGTATATGTTTGTTTTGGAGGTAGTCGATTGGCGGTACCAGACTCGGGCAGCGATGTCGTAGACGTAGACGGCATCGAAACTGACCTGTATGGTGAAAATATTTATGTTAGTGAAACCCCTCCTTTCCTCAAGTGAACTGTTATATAGATACAACTTCAGAGATGAATGTAATGGAGAATCAGGGGAAGACCCACAAACTCTTCATTTTTATTAGCCCCCCCCATTCTAACCAATATACCCTGATCCCCAACGCCTGCAACATACACCAAGGCCCCATCCCGCAACTCATTTAGGTCCGCAATGATAGTCTCATTCTTCCACACTTTCGTCGCAGCATCGAACACGGTCATCGAGCTCACAGTGTAAAAACTATTCCCAGACCTAGTCCCATTCGACCCGTCCCTATTCTTCAACTCGACTCTGGACATAACCCCTCCAAGGTAGAACCCTTTCCTTGCCTCAGCAGAGTAAGTGTATTCACCATCAGACTGGGAATTGGTCAGTTTATCCGATCCACCAGCCTCCGTGATCGAGACGGTTTTCCACGTCCCGAACCCCACCGTCTGGCTGAGGTCATAAGTGTAGTATTTCGTCGGGTCTGGCCACCCCCTCGTCTTATTCTGGAACTCCCCGTCCATGTACACGGGTTCCACCTCCAGTTGCCCGCCCCAGTAGTATATTGTGTTCTGGTGCGCCCAGACTGCCCCACGCTTGACGTGTGGGATTTCAAGGGGGAGCTCTGAGATTATCTCCGCCGTGTCTGAGAATTCGGCTTCGAAGTCCACAGGTTTCGAGAGGTCGATGGCTCGTAGGTACGAATCTGCGGAAGTTTGCTTGTTAATGCATGAAACAATACGATCTTGGCATGAACCAGACATTAGGGAAGGGAGGGAGGAGGGAGGCCAACATACTACTTGTTTTTAGGATAGAGACGGAATTATTGTTAGAAGCGATTACTGATCCGGGAGTAGATTTTGGAGTCCAATAGTATGCTGTTCCTCCGATAGTGTATATGGTAGTGTTGACCAAGGTCGCTGCCGGATCGCAAATAACATGTCAATAAAAACTCACGATGAATAATCGATGGCATTAGGATGTAATGAAACAAGGAGCAAAACTAGAAGGAGGAATGCAGACACATATGATTGGCCATCTGAGCAAGGTGCTTCTGAGGATCCAAAGTCCACGCCGACTGAGAAACTGATAAACCGGTTAACATGGAAAGCCATAGTAGCGATCCCGCTACTAGTGGAGGGTATCGCGCCATCGTATAAAGAAGTACTAATCAAAGGTTTGATTATTAGACCTCTTGCTTCCCGAATTGTGCCCAATCATTCTCGACTCACCTGTTTGCTTCCTTCCTACTACTGTAGCTCACCGCCCGCTCGCTAACTACCCACTCTCAACGACCGACGCTCCAACAAGGATATTAGAATGAAGAAAGGGAGGGGAAGAGGGAAGGAAGGTGAGTAGGATAGGCAAAGGTAAAAGAAAATAGAGGTGACAAGCAAAGTTTAAGGTTTGAATGGAGAAGGGGAAAGAAAAGGAAAATCAAGGTGAAGGAACGATTCACCCGCAGACTGTTGGGCACGGTAGAGGATTTTTGGGTATCATACATCCAACAGGGCAGTGAGGGTGTGCCTCGACCCACGCTAAGCCTTCCAACTTCCACCGCTAAGTGCTGTGATGATTCGCTGTTGAGAATAATACTTGCAAGAGTATTATAGCTTATTCATCTAGGGTGAATGGTGTTTGGGATTGAATTACGATAGGGCCACCCCCCCGAAAAGGGTTCACTGATGGCTAGTGCAGGGTTAGACGCTTGCACTAATCCTTGATTGTTTGACTCCAAAGGTTGGGGTATCATATCAGTTGCCATTTCTGTCTACCCAGCGTCTCAGAGGGTTCTCTGGTGGGGAGGAAGAGGAAGAAAGTGGAATGGAACAAGAGCTAGCAGACATGTCTAGGAATAAGCGCGATCAGCACGGAGAGTGGTGGTATTGCGAGCTAGTTTTGTTAGAAGGGCATTCTGAGGGGGATAGGTGGGTAGTGACAACTGCCAGTCAGTGTTACAGTCTGGCATTTCGTAAGAGGTATCAAGTGCGATGCAAGTTATAACAAAAGCAAAACCTCCTTCCCCCCTTCAACTTTTACCCCTTGTACTAGTACTGTACGAGTGGCCCAACGGACTGCAGTGAACAAAATATCCAGATATGATAGCAAGAAGTACTTACTGTGGCTCAGCCCTAGTTGCTTGTGGGTACATCCACGCGTAGCAGAAACGTCCTACAGTATCACGGTATGGTACAGTACAGTACCTTTT